ACAAAAACATCCTCTGTGTACAGTGTAAAACACCAAATAATGCATGCAGTGCAGAATTAGGATGATACCCGCTAATTATCAAAATCCAGAAAAGGCCTGTTAAATTCTACAACCACCTAAAAGGAAGCGATTCCCAAACCTTCCATAACAAAGCCATCACCTACAGAGAGATTAACCCAGAGAAGAGTCCCCTAAGCAAGCTGGTCCTGGGGCTCTGTTCACAAACACAAACAGACCACACAGAGCCCCAGGACAACAACACAATTACCACCCAACCAAATTATGAGAAAACAAAAAGATAATTACTTGAGACATTGGAAAGAATTAACCAAAAAACAGCAAACTGGAATGCTATTTGGCCCTAAACAGAGAGTACACAGTGGCAGAATACCTGACCACTGTGACTGGCCAAAAATTAAGGAACGCTTTGACTATGTAAAAACTCAGTGAGCATAGCCTTGCTATGGAGAGAGGCCGTCGTAGCCAGACCTGGCTTTCAAGAGAAGACAGGCTATGTGCACACTGCCCACAAAATAAGGTGGAAACTGAGCTGCACTTCCTAACCTCCTGCCAAAAGTACAGTGCCTTGCAAAACTATTCATCCCCCTTGGCGTTTTTCCTATTTTGTTGCATTACAACCTGTAATTTAAATGGATTTTTATTTGGATTTCATGTAATGGACATAAACAAAATAGTCCAAATTGGTGAAGTGAAATGGAAAAAATTACTTGTTTCAAAAAACTCTAAAAGAGAAATAACGGAAAAGTGGTGCGTGCATATGTATTCACCCCCTCTGCTATGAAGCCCCTAAATAAGATCTTGTGCAACCAATTACCTTCAGAAGTCACATAATTGGTTAAATAAAGTCCACCTGTGTAATCTAAGTGTCACATGATCTGTCACATGAAAGGCCCCAGAGTCTGCAACACCACTAAGCAAGGGGCACCACCAAGCAAGCGGCACCATGAAGACCAAGGAGCTCTCCAAACAGGTCAGGGACAAAGTTGTGGAGAAGTACAGATCAGGGTTGGGTTATAAAAAAATATCAGAAACTTTGAACATCCCACGGAGCACCATTTTAAATCCATTATTAAAAAATGGAAAGAATATGGCACCACAACAAACCTGCAAAGAGAGGGCCGCCCACCAAAACTCACGGAACAGGCAAGGAGGGCATTAATCAGAGAGGCAACAAAGAGCTGTAAAGCTCCACAGCGGAGATTGGAGTATCTGTCCATAGGACCACTTTAAGAGCTGGGCTTTACGGAAGAGTGGGCAGAAAATAGTCATTGCTTAAATAAAAAAATAAGCAAACATGTTTGGTGTTCGCCAAAAGGCATGTGGGAGACTCCCCAAACATATGGAAGAAGGTACTCTGGTCAGATGAGACTAAAATGTAGTTTTTGTGCCATCAAGGAAAACGCTATGTCTGGCGCAAACCCAACACCTCTCATCACCCCGAGAACACCATCCCCACAGTGAGTCATGGTGGTGGCAGCATCATGCTGTGGGGATGTTTTTTCATCGGCAGGGACCCCAAGAGACTTGCAGGTGTAATTGCTGCAAAAGGTGACTCTACAAAATATTGACTTTGGTTGGGGGGGGGCTGGGGGGGGTTGAATAGTTATGCACGCTCAAGTTTTCATGTTGTTTTTGTCTTATTTGTTGTTTGTTTCACCCCCCAAAAATATTTTGCATCTTCAAAGTGGTAGGCATGTTGTGTAAATCAAATGATACAAACCCCCCCAAAAATCAATTTTAATTCCAGGTTGTAAGGCAACAAAATAGGAAAAATGGCAAGGGGGGTGAATACTTTCACAAGCCACTGTATGACCATGTTAAGAGACAATTGGCGCTTGTAACGCCAGGGTAGTGGGTTCGATCCCTGGGACCACCCATATGTAAATAAATAAATGTATGCACGCATGACTGTAAGTCGCTTTGGATAAAAGCGTCTGCTAAATGGCATATTATTATTACAGAATTTATTTCCCTCAGATTACACAGACCCACAAAGAATTCGAAAAACAAATCCAATTTTGATAAACTCCCTTATGTATTGGTTGAAATACCACAGTGTGCAATAACAGCAGCAAGATTTGTGACCTGTTGCCACAAGAAAGGGACAACCAGTGAAGAACAAACACCATTGTAAATGCAACCCATATTTATGTGTATTTTCCCATTTGTACTTTAACTATTTGCACATCGTTACAACACTATATACAGACATAATATGACATAATGTCATGTTTACTGTTCATTTTATATATTATCTACTTCACTTTTGTTTATTATTTATTTCACTTGCTTTGGTAATGTAAACATGTTTCCCATGCCAATAAAGCCCATTGAACTGATTTGAGAGAGAGAGTCGAGAGGTGTGAGAAACAGGCCGACCTGCAACCCCACACCTCCACGCCCCGTCTGCACATCCATAGTCCAATCCACAAACACCTACTGTACACAGTCCTCTGCCTCTACTCTAGTCTGTTCAGTACAGGAGAGTGATACTGGGATACAGTGGGAGAGTTCAGCAGACTAACAATGAGTGCAACATTAGGAAATTCAAGCGAGAAGAAAAAGACAGTGCAGAGAATATTTAGAATGGTTTAGATTCTAAACTTTAGAAAGAACACAGTGAAGTCACATTTCTACGAGGGCCTTATCTGAGGAGAAAGGTCGATGCCATGTCACCACACACAACACAAAATGTGCTGTTGTAACTCAAGTGAGCTGCAGATCTGTAGGTAGAGGGGTCCAGAAAAGTTGGATCTGAATAATGAATGTCGGCTACTGTATAAGCTATTGAATACAAGCCTGATATCAGTTTTAAAAAAATGTATATCATGCATTGGAGCGCATTTTGGGCCCTAAAACGAACTGGTAAAAAAAACAACCACTATCACAGATTATAGTGAAATAGACACAAATTACTTATATTCATGACAAGCACACAAAAAAAGTCAAGTTGTTTTTGTCGACCACAGGATTTGCTTCATAATGCATTTGTGCCCAGAAGCCTGCGTGATTTTCTTCGTAAAGAATTCCAATTTGTTGTGGCTAACGTTAGCTAGGTGGCTAATGTTAGCTAGGCTGGGGTTAAAGTTAGGTGGTGTCTAGCAACCCAAAGGTTGCGCGTTTGAATCTCATCACTGACAAATTTAGCAACTACTTAACATGTTAGCTAACCCTTCCCCTTTAACTGAACTCCTACCCTTATCCGCTAACGCCTAACCTAGCAAACATTAGCCACAACCAATTGGAATTCGTAACATATCATACGTTTCGCAAATTCGTAACACATTGTACGAATTGTAATTGGTAATATATAATACCAAATGGATAATGGATATCCACAAAGTAATACATACGAAAAATAACATACTAATTTCAGTGTCACAGATTTACGTTTACTATACTATGTCTACCCCAGGTTGGTTTTAAGGAACCTACTGCATTCATCTGTGATTGAAATGCACTGTATGCAAACTCGTGTGATGGACAGGGAAACATTGACTGAGTAATTCGTGTTTATTTGACAAAAATGTGTGATAGTGGGTAAAAAAAATATATAGGTAGGCAGCAACCCGATACTTCCACCTATATAACAGTTGTCTACCCATTGCCGTTGATACCACGCTTTTGTTAGCACTTCACATTGAAATTGACACTGGCCCTGCGTGCGGGCAGGAGGGCGGTGTTTTCTCAAACCACAGACAAAAAAAAACAAGTCGGCGATTGACAATTTCCTGAAGAGAGGTCGGGCTTATCACTCCCAAATCTCTCTTCAAAGTGTCCTATCTGGAGTGAACTCAAGTCTGCTGAATCGGTGCAAAGCACATTGTTACATGCACACACAATGGACTAACTAAGCTACCTGTGAGCAGCTGGAAGGAAGGCTCTAGGCTGTGCGCTTTACCACTCCAATAGTGAGTGACGTCCTCTTGGAAAACGATTGATACCAACTATTTCAGGTAAGGAATGTACCCGAATTACTATTTTATCAATTAACAAAGTACTACATAGGTGTAATCAGAAGAAAAAGTGGCACATACTCCTAAACTGTTTTCGTTCAACTGCTAGTTGATGGTGCGTTTGTCACAATTTTGCCCATCATTCACAAACGTCACCTATTTTCAGTAGTAAAGTACTGGTTTCAATCGATTATTTTCGGCTTTTTGTTATTAAATGATTATTTTAGGCATTTGAAGTCTAGTAACTCATAGTTCTGCTGTTCGCCACACGTCTTCTTGTACTACGTACCACACTTAACCTACCACACCTTCGTGCGTCGTAGGCTATATTAAGCTGAAATAATTGCGCAATGAATTTATTTTACTTAGTATGGTAAATAAACATTTTTTCTCTCAGTGGAAACTGATAGGATGTTTTACACGACACAATACACATGCATATTTTACACTACACAAATATTATAAATAATTTTCCCCCATATATATATATATAACATTTGTCACATGCATATCAATATGCCTTCACTAAGCTTACAGCAATAAGTCCCAGACAGTGTTCTGTTTGTTATTTTGAACATGTGCAGTATGAAGAATGTATGAACTCACTAACTGTAAGTCGCTCTGGATAAGAGCGTCTGCTAAAATGACTAAAATGTAAAATAAAATGTAATATATTTGCACAAACACGCCACCAAAATCCATTTTTAATCTTGACTGGTCCAGCTTTCTGTAAATAGGCCTAGGGACACTAGAATTAAATCACACGCAGTCAATTATAAATGTATGTCTCTTCAGGGCCTATTCAGTCAAACCCCTAAGCAGGTTTCTGAGGTTTAGTCAATTCTAGATGGAACATTCTTCACGCAGGAGCATAATTACATTTTAGTTTTTTTTATTATTCCTTCAATGTGATTAAAGTTATCTAGTGGACAGCTTCTGACCCTATCCTGTACATCTGCGTCTGTATAGTTTTGGTTCATGTTCAAATTAACTATCTCAGTTTTGTCTCTGTTGTCCCGGCAGGTATGATTCAGAGGAAGGAGGTGGTACTCTCAGTCCTAGGGGAGCTGCAGGATGCCACAGAGAGCTCCGGCCTGGACGCCCTCACCAGGGTAGCACTGGAGGTCTACCAGGTCCTGACCCCCTTCAACCTGCCTTCCTCCCCCTACCGTGAGTTCCCTGACTGGGCAGGCATCGACGGCGTGGCCCGTAGCCTGTACCCTGCAGATGCTCCCGGAGGCCTCCTGCCTCTGGTCTGTAAGGGAGAGGGGAACTTGCTGTTTGATGCAGCCAGCATGCTGCTAGTGGGGACCGCTAGTCTCAGGCTGGAGCTACAGGTGAGGAAAGATTGACAGTGTGTCAATCAAAAGCAAAATATGAGTTTCAATTACTTATTTGTATGTATTTTGTGGATTTGTTTGTATTTTCTGGTTTGGCAATGTCATTTGTTTGTGGATAAGAGCTACTAAGAAATTAATCTTTGTGTTTTGAAAATGCATTTTTTGTGTTAAATGCAAAACGTACTTTTAAGTATTTGTATTTGACTAAAACGCCTGAACTCCCATTCTCTCCAGGTGCGTACGGTGGTGGAGATGCTGCTGTGGAAGAGATACTACCTGGGTGGTATGATCGACTCTAAGGTGATGCTGCAGGCAGCCAGGTTCAGCTTGTGTGCCGAGGAGTCAGAGGACATGCTCAACCTCCCGCTCTCCGTCCTCGAGGCTATCTTCGACGCCGACGTCAAAGCCTCCTGCTTCCCCGGCTCCTACGCCAACATGTGGCACCTCTACGCCCTCTCCTCTGTCCTCCGGTGCAACATCTACTCTGTCTACCCCATGTACAACCTCAAGATACGACCCTACTTCAACCGCCTGATAAGACCGAGGTCCTACCCCAAAGATGTGAACCCCGTCACCATGCACATCATGTGGTCTGGAGAGCTGGAGGGAGGCTCCTCTAGCTCCAGGTTCAGACCCAGAGTCTTTGTAGCGTTAGTCCAGGCTAGTGACCTCCAGGTGGGCAGTCCTAACGACGAGCTGAGGGTCCCCCCGCTGAAGACCCTGGAGCTTCTCAACGGGGACTCTCACCTGTCCTATTCCAGTCTGAAGGACAAGTACAACATCACCAAGAGCACCTTCTACCGCTGGAGGCGGCAGACGCAGGAGCACCGCAAGAAGTCTGCTGCCAGGTACAACTTTTCGTACAGTTTCCTGTCTGTTGTAGATACTGTCTGATGAAATCATGGCACTCAGACACATTCACACTTCTCTGTCTTGTATTGTTTATTTAGCTGTATGTTTTAACCTTCTGTTGACATTTTTATTACTATTAATCTGATCTCTTTCTGTGAAGGTACGAGGCCAAACACTTCCTCCAGGCGTGCTATCTGGAAGGGAAGCTCATCCCACTGCACCTGTTTAAAGAGTTATTCCCTGAGATCTCCAGGTCCACCTACTATGCATGGAAGCACGAGCTGATCTCGTCCGGCGGTAGTTTCTCCACGTTGTCCGCGGGGGAGGTGAGTCCAGGGGACAGCACGGAGCAGGAGTCCTGGTCCTCCCCAGAGTCCAAGCCCGGGCAGGAGGAGGACCATGAGGTAGAGCCAGACCCAGAGCGCCACGACAGCGTGGCCAGTCTGTTCGGCCTGAACTACAACAGTGATAAGATGGATGGAGAACGGGCCCAGAGCATGGCGCTGATGCAGGAGGCCAAGAAGGTTCTTCAGAACTGCATCGCTATGAATACATCATTCCCCTTCCGGATCTTCAAGAGGAGCTTCCCTGGGATCTCCAGGTCAGCTTAAATGATTTTACTGTTATTTAGCTTAGCCTTTAATACATATTTTATTAATACATACATTATTATTAGCCTTCAATAATAATACTTTTTGTTTTTCTTCTTGAATTCATTGATTTTTTTGCCTTCTGTTAGTTTTTTTTATCTCCTTAATTTTATTGATTTCCTGTAAAGTGTGTTGCAATTTTAAATGCACTTTTAACTAAAATTTGATTTGATACAGGTCAACTTACTACAACTGGAGGAGAGAGGCCATGCTATTTAACCGTGGCTACAAGGTTGGGAGCAGAGAAAACAGCTTGGATGCGGATAAGAGTAGTCCCACCGGTGGTCTGTCCCCTATCGTGGGGACTGAGAGCCATGGTCACGCTGCCGCCGTCTTCCCCAGAGCGAAGATCTGTAGAAACAACCATAAAGGGTTCAGGATGGTGTTCCTACGCAGGAAGAAGCTCAGAGAAGCTGCCAAGGTGAAGGTCTGGAGGTCAAAATGGCCTCTGTCTAGGTTCAGAGTGAAGTACCCCTCCCTATCCCTCTGTTTCTATTGGCTGTGGCGAAACAGCGCCAGTCGAACCAGGAAGGAGGAAATCACCACCCCGTCACTAGAGATGGACAGGTCTGAGGTCATTATTATGGAGAACAACAACAACGCAGTGAAAGGGAATGGGATGATGATGATGATGATGGCAGAGCGTGAGATAAAGACGAGGGCTCCAATTCAGGACGTGTTCTCCTTTGAGGGGGACCCAACAGAGGATCTGAGGGGCCCTGTCACCATGGCCTCTGTGACATCCCCCTTCGACGCCCCCCTCCCTCTACCGAGGTCCCCCCTGCTCCTCCCCCTCACCAACCCAACCAAGATGTCCGCCGCCACCACCGCAACAGACGACCAGATGTTTGTGATGGATCTGGTGGTCCTGGCCAACTTCAAGGCCAAGGCCAAACTGTTCCTCCAGCAACGCTTCGAGGAGAAGTCCTTCCCCACCTTCAAAGAGTTCAGGTCCTACTTCCCCCTGACTCCCCGATCCACATACTATATGTGGAAGAGGGCCCTGCATCACGGAGTGCCACTGGTACATGGCTGAGAGACATGGCTGAGAGACATGGCTGAGAGACATGGCTGAGAGACATGGCTGAGAGACATGGCTGAGAGAGGGCACCAAGTGTAGTGGTGGTCATGCACTCTGTTACAGTAGCTCCAAGCAGAAGGGTGTCCCTGTAACAAACTCAAATGCTCTCTTGTCTGTAGTCTCTTCCGAATCCTAAAACTATCCCCCCTCCCCCCCTTCACTCCCTCAAACTGAGTCCTCAGTATCAACCCCCACCTTTCCTCACCCTCTTGAAATTATGTAGATTTTTCACCTGATGTTTTCAACTGAGCACACTGTAATTGTTTGGTTTATAGTTTGAGGTATGTTTCAGCACCTGGGTGAAGCCTAATGGATTGAAATTGCAGCCAAATGCATCTTAGGCATGATGTTCTCCCCTCCATCTTTTCTCCCCTCCATCTCTTCTCCCCTCCATCTCTTCTCCCCTCCATCTCTTCTCCCCTCCATCTCTTCTCCCCTCCATCTCTTCTCGCCTCATTTGCACGTGTGTGAAAAGAGACTGTCCGTCCTACAATTCCAGTAATGTTCCTCTGGCCTCCAGGCAAAAGGCAGTTGAAAGTCATCCTGATGGTGACCAACCAGTGGGGGTTGATTTAAATGACTCTTTGTTTGAGACTGGATGTTTGTTCTTCTTCTCTTGGTTTTAATCTCCTTCGGGAAGGACTCCTTTATTTCCCTCTTTTTCATTTTAGTTCAATTGTTTTCAGGCTCCTTCAGGATGTTCTGTTTTTGTTAATCCATTTGATATCTGTCTATCTGTTGTAGAGGATTCTTAGGTTTACCCTTTAGATGTGTTGTACTGAAAGAAGTATGTGGTTGCGTCAGGGAAAGGCCTGTTTCAGAAATCCAGTTTCTCCTTTTATTTTTATTTTTATTTTTTTATACATGTTCTGTACACACAGTTTTGATTCACTATTTTTTGGACATTTGAATGTACATCTAAAAGGATGATTTCACTTGGTGCATCGCCGTTTTGTGTTTCAGGGTCTTCATGATTTACAGATGCAATAGATGCTACACCGAACAGGTAATGAGCTATAGATGTGACACATTGTCTCCTACTGTAAGGTAATTTTGCACTATGGTATTTCAATGGGATACGGAACATATCTCAACCACATGTCAGGGATTGTTTTTGCACCATATGTTACATGGTTGTCTTCTCAAGACGGATTTATTTAAATTTGAATTGACCAGTTTGTTTTGTAATTAATGTTTACCACATTTCTGGACTTGCTACCAGAACATGTAATATGCTAATTGGCCTAATTAAGTGTATATTTTCTTTTAAGAATTTCTATATTTTCTCTGTGATTACCATGCCTTTTTATTTTTTAAACTACCTATCATGCATGTTTTTCTGGTAACCCTAATGTGAAGTGAGTCTTCTCTCTATTTGAAGTCCTAAATCATGGTATGTTAGTTTTGTTAAATCATGTTTGTCTTATTTTAAAAAAAATAATGAAATGTGAGTTCCATTTTGTTGTTTTGTTCCCAAACACATTCTCTCAAAGAGTATTGAAATTTCAGACACGGGTGTATTGGTGTACCACTGCCATCATAGCAGCCAAACATGATATTTTTTTTCTATTTTAACATTTTCCTGCATATTTGTTTGTAAAAACTGGTGGAGTGAAACTATTTTTTTTTGTTGTTGCTATGAGGCAGAACATCAATAAACCACCCACTCAAACTCAGCTTGTGCTTGATTTGCGAGTCATCCAATCTTACAGCTTCTAACTCCATTCCTGGCAGCAGGTTATCACGCTTTAGTTTGGACGAATCTCATTTTATTCAGTTGTAATTGGGCCCCCTAGCTTAAGGAGACCATTGTGTAGGACTAATCTTCTGAGTTATCGACCCCATGCCTTGGTTCACCAGTGGAAAAAAAAAAAAACACAGTGATTACATTGGTCTGCTGCAACAGGGGTATGTTATTTTCTAGAAAAAGGCTCATCGATTTGAAAGTTGGAGACGTAGCATCTGTTGGCTACACTCCATTACATTTTAGCTTCGAGACAAAAGCACGGAGTTGCTAACAGCATGTTTTTATCAAGTAACATGACGATTTAGGCCTACTACACATTCATACAAATATCAAAGTACAGGCCTACTTTACAACTAGTCAGGCTTCATTTTGATCAATATATGCAAATACTCTGGCCTACATGTGGTAAAAGCAAATTGAGACTGAAAACGTGCGGTATAATAAGAGAATTCAATGCCGAGTTGCGACAACCCACTGGGTACACGCTGGTTATTTCCATGTCAATTTCAATGAAATTTAAATTGAACCAACATGGAATACATGTTGAATTGACATCTGTGCCCGGTGGGAAGCGACGAGCTGTTTTATATGGAAGCTCATACCCGCCAACCCCCCCCCCCCCCCCCCCCCCCCCCCCAAAAAAATAATAATAAATACAATTAAAATGCCTCATGATTTGTCAACTCGTGCACAATTATTTTGTGCTTCAGTCTGATCAACTGCAGCCTATAACAAGCACAGCTGCAGGTAGGCTGCTCAGGGGAAACGGAAGTGTTAACATCATGTATTTATAGCCTAATATAGGCCCATTTTATTTGTGTTCTGAGAAAATGTGAATGTTATCAAAATTGCTTTATATTCAAACTTCAGGTGGCTTTTTTTTAATTTTTTTATAAAAAATTATTGACTGGAATTAAACAGCACAATAGTGATGACATACTGTATGAATAACTTTTTAATTACAGATGCAATAAAGCAAGCTCAGCCTTAGTTCTATTGTCCAATCGCAGTTGTCTCTGTTTGTGTAAAGGACCCCCCCCCCCCCCCGTTAGTTAAAAAATATAATTGATATGAACAAGTACAAGATGGCTGCAGTTTGACAGGGTTGTAATGTTTTCATCCTCTCTAGGGCCAGGAGTTTTTCCAGGAGTTTAGAAAAAATAATCTTGTCCCATCATAGTCCATATAAAGCCGTAATTTTTTAAAGCTTATTAATTTACCATGTCATATCCTACAACTAGGGTCCGGAGTTGGTTAGGTTAGCCTACCAGATGAGGAAAAACTCTGGGCCCCAGGAAAACAATCCCCCACCACCCCCACTCTGAGACCTGTGGTGCCACCTCTGAAATTACCACACAATGTAAAAAAAAAACAAAAAAAACAATTTTTGTATGATCTACCACCGACATTGTACATTTATTTTTTTGGTGGTGGGGATGAACTTCCATAGTTTTACGTGGCTCAGTGTAGCCAGCAATTTCAGATGTTTCAAAATCATTGCTCTGCTTTGACCATTTATACTGTAGGAGTGTTGGGCTGAATGAGACAATTGTGTTTACACTGCCCTGCCTCAAGTGGGCAGCTGTCGGACGTTACCTTATAATGTGTGTAGCTGAGGGTATTTTTACCAAAAGTGTAGTAAGTGTGAAGAAGCTCTAAAATGCAACTAGCTCTCACAGTCTCACGTCAGAAATAGACGTTCATCCATGTTTCTGAAACCTTCAAATTTCTAAGTGTTTAAGGTTAAGTGTAAGCATCTGCCTCTGAAGGTTGCCTGTTCAAATCCAGCAATATATATATATATTTTTTAAATTTCTAAGTGTTTAAGGTTAAGTTCAGGCATTAACTCCGAAATCTTAAGGTTAGGAATTAACTCCAAATGGTTAAGGTAAGGGTTTGGGATAGGCTTAAAACAGTCTAACAAACCAACTTTCTATCGCTGGATTTGAACTCGCAACCTTCAGAGTCAGATGCTTACGCCCATCCTCCATCCCCGTCCACAACACCTTAGCAAAACCCAAACCTACTTGACGGTAACAGCGCTCACTGTTGCCCCTACCGGCCGGCTCCACGTCATCTCTGATTATCTGATTTCTCACCCTTTTTCATTATTTCTGAGTGGCAGAATTTGATGTGTACTGTATATCATGTCATGTTACCCCCCCCCCCCCCCCCCCAGCTAGCACATTTGGTTCCTTGGAAGTTGTGGGAACGGACGTTTTTGGTTTGCTATATGGCCATATGTTGACAATGTTAAAACTGAACTTTCTTTTTTAATATTCTGAAAACGGAAGTGAAAATACTGACCGTTCTGGGGACATACATTTTTAGGTTGCAGGGAGTTTCTGAAAACGTTGGACTATGTTCCCTGAACGTTTTCCTGGGTGGTCTTATTAACGTTCTGAAAATGGAAATTATAGGTAATTTGGAGGTTTTTGAAAATCAGTTCCTAAAAACTTTTACTGAACGTTTCAACAAGACTAACACTGCTAGCTTAACTGTTTTGAACTCCAAGCACAGATAGGACATATGGAAATGATTTTGCTTAGGTGTTAATCATGTAAACACATTTATTTTTTATTGTGGCACGGCCTCAGTGAGATTCAAACTTATCATCTTCTGTTTTCTATCCGTGGAATTAGTCCGCTGCGCCACCAGGATAGAGCTAGCATGCCATGTTTTTTTTTTCACTCATACAAACTTGTTCATTTTAGTCTATTCAAATAGACTCCATTTCAAATGAAAGAAGCACTCATTAAGATCAGGTTTGGCCAACACACCGGAACACAGTTAACAAAATAGAGGATAGAGAGAGTTATGTTGACGCTGAAAACGGAATGTGTTTTCAATAATATTCTTGGAACATTACTAGTGTTTATTTGTGTTTTTTTTATGGAACATTTTCTTAATGTTCTGAGAATATTACTTTAAATAGGATCATGAGGAAACCTTCAGAAAACGTTATGCTGAAGTACTGAAATTCCCACCATTTCTTAATGTTCTCTGAACTATTTGAAAACATTCCCAATTTCAAACCAGTAGGAAAACATTACAAAAAAATTACAAAAATGTTAATTAAATGTAACTAGGTTTGAACTTTTAGGAAACATTCTGTTAAAGTAATGAAATACCAAGAAAATCATGTTATTCTGTGAAGTTCCTTAAATGTGTTGAGAATGTTCCAAAGCCAAGCAACTATCCTGCA